CCACGCTTGACTCCCAACAATTCCTCCCACAAGTGTGAGCCAACCACATCACTAATCTTGATCTATACTAGGATCCACTTTCGCTCCCCTACCGAGCCTAACCATGGCTCTAATACCACTTTTGGAACATCGATTTGGGGGGTTCAATACGTTGAAGTATTTTTACTTTGGGATTTTCTTTAAGAGCAACATATCTTTTGTGAGAAACACACCACATACTCACCCAAAACTTTAAGGTGGTAGGTGTGTGAGTTCTTCCACTTATAAATGTTTAAGTCTCCATATTTATAAACAATGTGGGACTTCCCCACACCACTTATACTTATTATTTTCAACAAAAATACCTCTCAGAATTTGGAGATGTATCTTCGACACACACACACACACACAACTCATTCATTTTTGGACCACGACTCTATTTTATGACTAAATTTTGTCCGAAAATACATTTCCTGAACCTGTAAGAACCGAACTGCCCACACTGATATTTTTTTCTCAAATTCAGTTTCAAATCTCATTTATTACCCAATCATGAAAAATGTTACTCAATTATTGCTTTATTGAGCATAGATTCCGTAAGACATCAGTAATACACAAAACCTGTAAAAAAAAAAAAAATCAAACATCACTTTCAAAAATCTCCTATTTTTTCAATTAATTTTTTCCACTATCCAATTCTGAATTTTATCTTTTGAGTTTATCTAACCCATAATTACTCCACTCAACAAATCTTCAATAATTTCACATTTTTTTAATTAATTTATTTTTTACTTCTCTCTTTCTAGTTTAATCTTTTGTTCATGATAATAATAATAATTTCTTACAGGTTTTGAAATGTATTTTTGGAGACATTTCGAAAATATATTTTTGAACTAAATTTAATCATAAAATTGAAGCGCGCCTCAAAAGCAAATGAGATGTGTGTGCGTTGTGTGCATCCGAAAAAGCATCTCCAAATTTTGAAGATGTTTTGAACGTTTCACGAAATGTTCTAATAAATCATAAAATGCATATAGAAATTCCCAAGAATAATTATATTTAATTTGATTGTATTTGAATTAAAAATATTAAGCCCATGAAAAATATTAACTTATATTTATTTATTATCATGTTTATAATTTAATTTTTTATGACAAATATTTTCATAGTTTTTGATAAATATTTTCCTATCAAAGTCTTTTAACTCCCTTAACTTTATTCTTATTCTCCTTAAATGTTAAACATTCTTTATATATGTATGTATGTATATATATATATATATATATATATATATATATATATATATATATATATATATATATATATATATATATATATATATATATATATATATATATATATATATATATATATATATATATATATATATATATATATATATATATATATATATATATATATATATATATATATATATATATATATATATATATATATATATATATATATATATATATATATATATATATATATATATATATATATATATATATATATATATATATATATATATATATATATATATATATATATATATATATATATATATATATATATATATATATATATATATATATATATATATATATATATATATATATATATATATATATATATATATATATATATATATATATATATATATATATATATATATATATATATATATATATATATATATATATATATATATATATATATATATATATATATATATATATATATATATATATATATATATATATATATATATATATATATATATATATATATATATATATATATATATATATATATATATATATATATATATATATATATATATATATATATATATATATATATATATATATATATATATATATATATATATATATATATATATATATATATATATATATATATATATATATATATATATATATATATATATATATATATATATATATATATATATATATATATATATATATATATATATATATATATATATATATATATATATATATATATAGGAGTTAATTAAAATGTACTGATAATTTAAATTTTTTTTACACTATCAGTTAATCATAATCATTGGATGTTAAAAGAAGTTTGACTTTTATTTTAATCATTAATAAAGTAATATCAACAGATGATGGTGATGAGTTGACCGTGTAAAACTTTTTACACTGACAGTGTATAATAATCACATATACCAACGGATGATGGTGATGAGTTGACCGTGTAAAATTTATTTTCTTACTTTCTCTTTCGATTTTTAAAGTTTAGATTTTGTTCCTTTAGGATCAATTAGTTTTTGTATATTAGTGCATCACTCATAACTAGTGTAAGGTTAGAGTTTTTTAAATCAATTTTATTTTAATTTTTTATTTCTTTTTAACAATTGAAAATTTATTGTAATTTTACATAAGTGAATATTTTGTTAGTTTTACCTTAAAAATATTTATGTTAGTTTAATAGCAATTCCCGAAAGATTCTTTTTTGTCATAAAGTTGTAAATAAAAAGATACAATTATATAAGAGATAAATATTTAAATGAATGTTTAGTTTTAAATATAGAGAATAACATATTAAGAGTTGTTTGTTCCACAGTAAAACCTCCAGTTTTTAGTCCTACCAGTGGGGAATCCCAGTCAAGTCCACAAATGCAAGCTTTTTTTCCTCTCCTACCATACACCAAAATATCTGTTGAACTAAGTGTCGCGATCTCCCTTCTTGTTGGCCAGTCAAGTAATTCACAGATGCACATCTCTTCACAAATACTCTGGCCCATTGAAATATATCAAGTAGGACGTCTTTAACAATGTCATGTTGGTATTTGAAGCATGGAAGCTCCTTACAATAAATCATGTGTTCTCCAAATGTGTACAAGCACTCCTTAGTTCTTACGGTAAATAGGGTAAACCTCATCAATAGGAAATAAGGGAATCATAAGGCGATGTCTAAGGATAGTACAATACTCTACCAATGACATGCGTTGGTCTAGCCCATCAATAGGAATAACAAGGAGAAAATCCTGAGCACGTCTTGCTTGTAAACAACCAAAAACAATTTTCTATCTTGTGGTCATATCAAATTTTACGTCCATTTACTAAACACTTTTACTAAAAAGGACACTTACTAAAATATGTTGTGCTTTAGCATGGATGATGTCCTTGCTAGTAAAACTACTAAGGTTAAAATCTAGAATCGTACCTCTAAGACCATCCAAAGCTCTATCAAAATTAAAGTTCATACCATATACCAAATTACCTCTCAATATATGACCTTGTAAACCTAAGATTGGGCCTTAGAATCCACAAAACCGTTATGTAACAGCCTCAACTCAATCCCTAACTCTAATGGGTAAAAAAAACCACCCTATATTGAAGGCCTCCAAAAAAGACCTATACCAATCATGAAGTCTTCAACTAAACTTCACATTTCTTTAATAAACCAAATAATTGTTTCCTACATCTGCTTAGTTGACAATTTTTTAGGGCAAAAAATAGTTTGGTGATACCCATGCAAGATCGAAGTGGAAAAAACTTAAATTTAGCATCTCTTAGTTGTGGCAGAAGATGCATTAACTCAACAATCCTTAGTAGCTTTCTTCATAGGCAACCCCATAATAAAACCTTCATCTTGACTTATAGCCCCTCCAAGCAACTTCATCCACGAGATCGGCCTCAGAATATCCGATGGGAACAAGTCCCATGAAGTTTACTACCATCACATGAAGGCCAAAAGATTGTAGTCTTATGAACATTCAATTTGAGACCTAATCCTAGACCCATCTCCCGAATAATGTCAAAGACTTTAGCCATCACCTATAAATCTCCTACTATGGTTTTGTCATCTAGATATCAGACATGAAGAAGAAATTTACAATTGTATCTAATCTAATGAATGAGTGGGTGTAATTCAAGAGGAAAAAGATGAGGCTCTAACGGGTCACCTTGTTGCACTCTAGTGGTTGATATAATATGTCTACCCACAAGGTATAACATCGCTGACTGACCATAAAGAAATTCAACCCACAAAAAAATAGATGAGCATCTCATCCTCACCTCGCGCAATAGGATTGATCAATCTACCATGTTAAAAGCATTCGAGAAATCTACTGTAAGCATAGCCAAAAAAACCATCTTTATGTTGCTTGTTTAACATTCTGTTGAAATTGTGCAATATGATATAAACACCACCCAATATCCTAACCTCAAACTGAAAGTCATTGAAATACTGTGCTACATCTTTACTAACCCCATTCATAGCATCCTTAGTTGTATCTCCCAATCAAACTTTAATCATAGCGCCAAAGATACAAAAGCAGCAAAATCGGTCAAACTCATCAGACATCTTTCTACCAAACATAAATTAACAATTATATTTATATTTAAAATAGTTAAATAATTATATATAATAATCCCATAAAATTTATCTACGTCTAGTTATTTTTAAATAATATTTGTAATTAAAATTATTCTTTTTCAATTATATGATAAATAAAATAAACATATGTCGAGCTTGAGCTTGAGACAATTCAATTGGATAGAAATACCTAACCTATAACAAACAAAACAATCCAACTTTTTTTAAATAGATAAATAATTACCTATTTGGTTTGATGCACATAAAAGAGAGAGAGAGAGAGAAAAAAAAGAGAAACTTAAATATTACGTGTCAAAATATTTCTTCTGTATTTTTTATTTATTCCATCATATTACACCATCAGCAAAACATTTTCTATTCTACTTCAAGAGTCTCCCCCACTCTTGAGATGCAAATTGTAACAAGTTTTGAGATAGAGATAGTGCAACAAAACCCACAATAAAAACCAAACAAGACTTCACAACATAGATAACATAGAGAACATAGAGAAACAAAAACACACTCTCTCTCTCTCACACCATTCCTTTTTTGCATGACCCTTCAAATTAACAATAACCAAATCATTCTCTTTTCTATAACCAAAATTAGTTAATTTATTCAACTGGGTCATTTCCCGTGATAAAAAAATGGAAGCTTTTCAAGAGGCTAGATATGGACTTGGTTTACAGCTTGAGTTTATTTGGAGGCAAATCAGAGAGCCATTGATCGTACCAATACTGAGAGTTTCAGTGTTTCTGTGTCTAGCCATGTCATTGATGATGTTGGTTGAGAGAGTTTACATGGGAATTGTGATTTGTTTTGTGAAGCTGTTTGGTAGAAAACCAGAGAAGCGTTATAAATGTGAGTCTTTTAAAGATGATGTTGAGTTGGGAAACTCTAGTTATCCAATGGTTCTTGTTCAAGTTCCAATGTATAATGAAAGAGAGGTGAATTCTTTTCATTTGCTCATTTTTTAATATATTTCTTTATGTTAAGTATGAGGTTTTAAAAGCTTAAGTTGTATATGGTCTTAAAATGCAGGTTTATCAGTTATCAATTGGTGCTGCATGTGGACTCTCTTGGCCTTCTGATAGAATCATCATACAAATTCTTGATGATTCAACTGACCCAACTATCAAGGTATATCTATGCTTCAATATATATATATATATATATATATATATATATATATATATATATATATATATATATATATATATATATATATATATATATATATATATATATATATATATATATATATATATATATATATATATATATATATATATATATATATATATATATATATATATATATAAAATACATAAACTTTAATTGATTTAATATATCAGCCAAATATATCAACTTTTGTAGACTAAAATTTCCTTTATAAAAAAGAATTTGAAGAAGTGTATGTTAGGGTTTCATTTTCAAGTTTAATGAGGGAAAATTGATTTTGATAAAAGTAATATTGATTTTTCCTTTAAAATTAAAATTAATTTTAATTAAAATAATTATTTTTTTGTTAAATGTGACTTTTATATTTAAATTTATTGTTTAATTAATTTTTATTCAATTATTATAAATGTAAGTTAAAAAATCAACTTATTTTTATTCAATTAGACATAAATATTTTATATTCAATTTAATTTTAATTAAATTTTATTTTACAAAATCAATTTTTAATGTCAACCAAACAGTTAATGAGTTTTAGTTCCTTAAGATAATTTTAGATTCTAGTTTGATTTAGGCAAAATATTCTTCTTGTTCTCTTAACTATATCTCGGGGTTTATTTTGATCCCTTAACTTTAAAAAGTTCCATATTGATCCCTTAACTCTTCAAACTTTTCATATTAGTCCTTTTTGACCTATTAGCGACGGAAAAAAATCAAAAAACCGTCCGTCGTTAATAGGTCAAAAATGACTAATATGGAACATTTGAAGAGTTAAGGGATCAATATGAAACTTTTTAAAGTTAAGGGACCAAAATGAATAAGTAACCAAGAAAATATTTTGCCTTTGATTTATAAGTTTTTTAATTCTACTTTTGTCTTTAGTTTTCATTTTTCATTTATACACTTAAATTACAAAAAGTTAAAATCTTTTATTGTTTTCTGTCCAGATTGAGCCGGTCAAATATTTAATATTAAAAAGTCAACACTTTAATATTCTAGAATTAAGTTGAATATCAATACTTTTATTTAATAAATTATAAATATTTAATATTTTATTTTAATATATTTTTATTTAAAATAAATTAAAATTTTAATTTAATTTACATTAAAAATAACTGTATTTAACAATAATAATAAGATTAATGATGTGATTAAGTTCGTATTAATGGTGATTGTGAATACAGGAGTTAGTACAGTTGGAATGCCGTAAATGGCGAAGCAAAGGAGTAAACATAAAGTACGAAGTTAGAGACAATAGAAATGGTTACAAAGCTGGTGCTCTCAAAGAAGGAATGAAACATAGCTATGTCAAACAATGTGATTATGTTGCAATCTTTGATGCTGATTTTCAACCACAACCTGATTTTCTTTGGCGAACTATTCCTTTCCTTGTTAATAATTCTGATATTGCTCTTGTTCAAGCTCGCTGGAAGTTTGGTATTTCCATTTTTCCTTCTAATTTCATTAATCACATTAACTACAATTAAGCAAGGTTGTTGAATTAACTTATTAATTAACCATGTGTGTCTTTGTTTTTGTTTTTGTTTTTTTAGTGAATGCTGATGAATGTTTGATGACAAGGATGCAAGAGATGTCACTTGATTATCATTTTACTGTGGAACAAGAAGTGGGATCTTGCACTTATGCCTTCTTTGGCTTCAATGGTAACTACTCTAAATTGCGGTTATATAATCGTGGTTGTGGATTACGCTGCGATTCTTGATATTACAGTCAAATGCAATTAAATGCGGTTAATATAATTGTGGTTGCTATGCTGTTGCAGAAACTTGTAAAAAGTTTTATAAAACGATGTTCATGACACAGGGACTGCGGGTGTATGGAGAATTTCGGCGTTGAATGAAGCTGGCGGGTGGAAAGATAGGACCACAGTGGAAGATATGGACCTAGCTGTACGTGCAAGTCTCAAAGGATGGAAATTCGTATACCTCGCTAATTTACAGGTTCGTTTCGTATTTCAATCTGAAAACTCATATCTATATGTAATGTTACCAAAACTTAAAGTGAGAATGTTATGTTACATTCGTACATTCGTTTAGTAATATATGTTTTTCTTGATATATAGGTTAAAAACGAATTGCCGAGTACTTTAAAGGCCTATAGATACCAGCAGCATCGATGGTCATGTGGACCGGCCAATCTTTTCAGGAAAATGGTTATGGAGATTGTCACAAACAAGGTAAGTTTCATTCATATACCTTGAATACATTGATCATGCAGTTGAACTTAATATGACCAAAATTTATTCATGTTTTTGTTTAATTTGTCCGTTGCAGAAAGTGTCATTGTGGAAGAAGATATATGTTGTTTACAGTTTTTTCTTCGTTCGGAAGATTGTGGCGCACATAAACACATTTGTGTTCTATTGTATTGTGTTACCTGCAACTGTTATGGTGCCTGAAGTTGTTGTCCCTAAATGGGGGGCCGTGTATATCCCTTCCATCATCACCCTTCTAAATGCTGTTGGAACTCCAAGGTTATTTTTTCATTGAAATAACATTGTTTAATTTAACGAACCCATCGTGCCACCCAGATGAGGTCGACTAGGCCTAAAGCCCTTGCTTCAGTTGCTTAGGCTTTGATCCGACTCTGATGCGCTTACAATCTATTTTCACAAATATAGTAAAATTTAGATAAACATACATAGAGTTTGATTACGGTAAACTTGTTTTGCAATTAGAACTTTGTTGAAGTTACTAAGCGTGCTTGTCGTTTTTCAGGTCACTCCATTTACTTGTCTTTTGGATTCTCTTTGAGAATACCATGTCTCTACATCGAACAAAGGCAACAATTATCGGTCTACTAGAGGCTAGTAGAGTGAACGAATGGATTGTCACTGAAAAACTTGGAGATGCTCACAAGGGTAAAAGTGGTGGTAAAGGACTCAAAAAATTCCGATTTAGGATCGGAGACAGGTATAAAACGCATAAAATATCACTACATTCGATCTCAAATGTAAACAAAAAGAGGTCTATCTCATAGACTTTTTTGCTTATATTTGATACCCTTGGGTATATCGTTCAATAATTTTCATTTTCTAGTGATATTTAAGTACTTACTGATCCATATATTGTTGTATTTGTGTTCAATATTTAGGATTCACATGTTAGAACTTCTTGTTGGATTCTACCTCATATTCTGCGGCTGCTATGATGTTATGTATGGGAAAAATCACTTCTTCATATTCCTATACATCCAAGCCATTGCTTTCTTCATTATGGCATTTGGATATGTTGGCACTTTTGTTCCCAACTCATAGAAGAACATGGCATTTGCAGTACTCCATTCTCCGATTTCGGGTTCTGTGGCTTCAATTTATATCTACATGATGTATAGTGTAATTAATATTCATTATGCACAGCTTGTTACATTAGAAAAGTTAAAGTTTGTTGATGTAAAAAAATACATGAAGGGTTATTCTTTAAGGTTCTGCCGTTGATACATAAAGAATTTACATGAGTACAGAGAGATGAACTCAACAGTCCACAAGTATAAGTGTGCATTTGAGTGGTAGATTATCTTTAAGCTTTCTTAGTTTCTTCAAATTTTTATTAGTTTCCATTCTTTTGCTTTTTTACATTGTATTTGTTTGAAGAAATAAACAACTTCAATAAAATGGAATAGTTTATACAAATTTTATCTTCTGTCTTACAATCCATCTCTACGTATTTAGTTCTTTAGTAGAATATTCGATTGACTTCTTGATTTGCATCACAATAACTACTTAACTTCAACTTGTTTTACACTGGAAAAGAATAGCCCTTGCCAAGGTGTTCATTTCAAATATCGAAGAACTTGAATTGCTGCGTCTATTTGTGGGTTGCAATGAGCAAATGTTTCTTCATAATTCATTCCATCAACATGTTGTTGGCTTCAAGAAGAGGAGATGGAGAAGAACATGAGTCAAGAGCATTAGAGCATGTAGCACCACCATCCCCAAGGAAGACAAGGGTCAAGGCATGTGCCTCACCCAGAAAGAGGCCTAAGCTGCCTATAGACAAGAACAATGTATGAAGAATGTTGCAATATTTCTGTATCATGAAGTAGAACAGTCCCTTTAATTGTTGTTTTACACTTTCATTTTCAAGTTGCAGTTTTAAATTTTAGCTTTATAATAATGTTATATTTTTCCATATACACAATATGTGTCAAATGATAGAACAACAACGGTTGGGCGTTGTTACGGGCCGGCTGAATCTCTTTCTATCCGGCCACCCTGATATAGACCATTTTGGGTTGAAGTTTAGGATATTCATATACGCGGTCGAGCTTTTAGAAACTTCTTCTGACCAATAAGCTATCATGCACTTCACTACAGGAGATCTACACCTCAAGCACATCCAACAGTCATCCACATTCTACATATGAAAGATAGTGAAACCGTTATTCCTTTCTCCTATATAGAACGGTGCAATTTCAGGTAACAAATTTCAAACATAATTTAAATATTCTCTACTCTTTCACATACTGACTTGTGTTGGAGTACTAACATTGTAGGCACACTCCCGCTCCACCGCATTGGAAGTTCTACTCTGTTTAGCTTCTGCATCTCATTCTATTTCTGGTTCTAGAACAAAACAGTGGCGTCGTATGTGGAAAACGACTTTTGATTTCTGCGTTCTCACCATTTTGAACCTCTACGTTCAACTTTCGAACGCTAAGTTCTCTTTGACGCCTGAACGATGATCTAGAAAATCAAGCACAAAATTCAATTAGGATCAATCAATTATAATCCTACATCTTGTGCAATCCATCAACTTTCCAGATCTTCAATCTTTGTTAACTCCTACTTCTTCTTCTAATTAGTGAAAATGGTTGGATCTAGAGTTACTCGTTCTCCCACTTCACGCAAAGTCGCTCTAGTTGTCGTCGTCGTGGCATCGACGACTTTCAATCGGTTGAACGTCACTCCTCCTCCTGCCGAAGTGAATTTCAACACTGACGTCCCTACAAAGCCATGTCAAATCCTTCCTTCTTAGAGAAGGAGGACTGTCCAAGCTCCACCGCTTGGAATTTCAACTCCTCTACCTGTTAAACGAACTAAGGTGTCGCACGGTTTCAGCATCCTCGAGGCAAACCTAGTCACCCAGGGCACAAACAAAGTGATCAATGGCATCTACAACACTGTTTAGCAACAAAAACACCAAGGCAATAGAGGAAAGGTTCCTTCGGAAAGAGGAAAGCCCCATTACGCTCAAACCCAAGCATATTCAGTTCAAGAGGCCACATCCGGGAGAAATCGCACCAACAGGTCGGAGCCATCAGTGGCGAAGGGGAGAAAAATCTAGAAATCAAAAGACCACTCTAAAGGAGAAAAACATAATCCTCTTCCTCATAATCCGGATGGACACTGAGGCAGTTATGCTCTATCCCCGGTACACCGTCCAGGTTCAACCTAAGCATCCTCTATGTGGCTGGATCCTAGAAAGCAAGATCCCCAAGTCAATGTTAAACCCTTATAAATTAGGGGGTATAATGGAAAGAGAGACCCAAATGAACATGCCCAACTCGTAAATGACCAACTGAAGTACTACAGTGTTAATAATGCTTCCAAGTTCAAGCTATTAGTATTAACCTTGGTCGGACAAACCAGTTTGTGGTTCATGGTCTTCCCGATGGTTGTATTGAGTCATGGGTAGATTTTCATGATCACCTCACCGCTCACTTCACAGTCTGGAAGAGGCAACTGATTACTATATCTGCTCTGAGCGAAAGAGAACTTGCGATCATACACTGATCGATTTACTCAGGTTGCTGTAGATGTAGAGGGAGCCGAAGAGGCCTTCCAATGCTGGATCTTTGAGAATGGCCTCCTCCGCGACCATCCTTTCCGCACCAAATTAGGGAAAAGGAAGGTAAAGACGACCTAAGAGATGTTGAGCCTAGCCGAACTCTATATGACCCTGGAGGGAAAGCTGAATACTCTCTTCTATAACCCAACCTCGACTACCGATGCAAACCCTGAATACTCACTTCGATAACCCAACCTCGGCTACCTTGGTACATTAAGTACAAGTCTTTAAATACTTCCTGAGATAAGACTTTCCAAGAATGTGTCAATACCAAGTTCAGGAAAGCATGGATTCATCCCCTTACCCTGTTTGGGAGACTGGCCGGACAGAAAAATCAAAGTAATTCCGCTTTCATAGGGGGCACGACCATAACACAGAAGATTCCATCAAACTTAAATATGTGTTTAAAGCGCTAATAAAAAAATGCCATCTATCCAAATGCGTAAAGGGTGGAAAACAAGACCGAGAAGAGTCTCCAAGACCAAGTCCCCCGAAAAAGCTTTTGAAGTCGGTCCCAGCGGCGAGAGAAGAGAAACTGAAAAAGGGAAACACCCATATATTGTCACCATCATTGTGAACCCTAGGAGAACCAACCCTCTAAAGGTACAATCAAGCGGAAGATTGCCTAAATGATGGTCGTCTACCGAAACCAAGGAAGCTCATAATCCAAAAATCCCGACCGACCTATGCTAGGGTATCGAGACTGAGAATGTTGGAGGCATATCAAATGAATTGTTCCCCATAGTAATCATGGCTACTATATGACAGTTCGATGTATCGCAAATTTTAATTGACGGGGAAGTAGGGAGTGGTTGGTTTATTCACGTACTCCATCCATATTCAAAATAAATCTATTTATTTTAGCAGGTTGTTATAATCAATCCATATAAATGATTTTATTTTTATAAAATTAATTATAAATTGATTATATCTATAACTAAATTTTATAACTATTTATATATTTTATGGGTCTTGTTAACGAGTGCTTTCAGGGCACTATTTAAACATTTCATATTAAAAAATTATTCTTTAAAAAATTCAAACATTTTTATTTTCAATGCACATTATTACACATTATTGCACATACTTTTATAAAAATTTACTATTTAAAGTTTTAAAAAGTGCCCTGAGGGCACTGGTTAGCATTTCCCATATTTTATATATGGTTTTAGAGTTCATATTCGATTTTCAACTTAAAACCGGATTTGAATATAAAAATCCAGTTTTTAAAACTGGACATTCATTTTTTAACAATCGGTTTTTTAACTAAAATCGATTTTTGACTTAAAAATTTAGTTTTTATAAATGAATTTTAAAAAAAGAAGTGGAATTGTCTTCTGTTCAGAGTCTGTAGATCTAACATTACAAAGCTCTGCAATAACTAAATTCACCATTTACCATTGTCCCAGAAATTAAACCAAAAAGTGGAATTTTCACCTTTGATCTTACATGGACCGAGATTCGAATAGTAAAACGTAAATACTTCCTTACAAATATGCAGAATTAGTTTAGTAGTAACTTATACTAGTTCAACAATAAACTTACAAGATATAAACTTACAATAAACTTCTACTACTAACATTGCAGACACATCCATATACAACTATTTTGTTTTCATTCAAGCAGAAACACTAATAGAGATTCAAAACAACAAAAGACAGTAGTTGTATATATCAGCAGTAAGATGGAACGTCGACCGGTTGGTAAACAAAAGTTTTGACTGTGTATATCCCCTTAGCATCTGTAAATGCCTGATAGTTTAGAACATCGCCGGATTTGGTGATGCAAAGAACAACAACTTCAGCACCTGCATCAAAGCATCAGGGGACTCGATTTTAGTCAGTAACCACAGAACATTATTAATTTAATTATTACATCAAGAATAAAATAAAACTCAAACTCCACAGAACATGTTTTATAAATACAACCAAACAAAGCTAGAATGAGAAAATTGCAATCAAATAACTAGTATTCCAACAAGCAGAACATAAAAAATGCCAAGACTGTGCCTTCTGTATCAAAACCCTGCTAAGTTCTTCGGCTAGAAAACCATGATTTCAGCCAACCTCAAGAAGGTTGGCATTAAACAAGTAGGATGAACATATACCATATTTGTTTGAATCATACAGTCTTAATATTTGTTGTATGCTGTAAATGTCTGATGCCAAAAAATCAGGCATGATGGATGAACTTCAGAAACTTGTATCTGAGTGGCCTTCGGAAGTTCTTAAGCACAAACAAGAAGAGGAAAGAAAGGTATATACATTATTTCATTGCAAAGAAGTTTTAGTTGTCATTTTAGTTCAACTGTGTTTCTGTTAAGACAGTAACATGTTTTTTCTGCTTTATTGACAGACATTAGCAGCCTCTTTGAAATTTGATATTTTTGCAATGGTTAATGATTTACTTGACATGGGACTTGAGGCAAATGTAAGTTTGGAAGACCTAAACAAAAGAGAAGGTGTTC